AGAGTGGAATTGATTACATGGCGTATGCGTCTGCCATATCAATGTGCCCGTCACATATGTACGTTGTGTGGGACATCCCCACCATACTGTACGCACTGATTATTGGTAATGTGAGTCGGCGGGTTCTGATATCTAGGACACAGCGGTTTGCATGTCCAGGTGCTGGTGGAAGGTTCTGCTCACATGATCCTGAACACGAGTCATTACTCACAGAAACAACCAAATCACTAAATACACACAAGAATAAATTTCTTTCTGTAGGAAACCAGGTTGTGTCGCAACGTATTTATGTTAGACTTGCTAGGTTGAAATGCTTCGATGTCTGGACTCTGGGGTATGGTTGGTGTAAAGTCGGGTGGATGTATTTATGTATTGCAGGGGGGTAAAATAAAATCTGCAGAATATTTTCCAGGAAAAATACTACAGACAGATGAGAAAAACAAAAAAGAACAGACCACGAGTTCTAATAATAGATTGTAGACCACTATCGGAGAATCGGTCAGTACTTTGTAATTTTTGATGTTTTTATTTATTTTAGGCTGCCTCTTGTATTTTTAGAAGCTATGCTATGACTTGTGATATATATATATATAAATTGGTTGTTTTTTTATTGCAAAAAATATATGTACCGGGGTCTACGGTCTATTCCTGCTGTGTGTCCCTGTCCCGTCATCACGATAAATACACAGATTCGATTCGTCATTTACGCAGGAGTCAGGACTCTAATAATATAACAAAAAGCTTGTGATTTCTTTCCACCAAAAAAAAATTTACACAACCATTTTTGAAAAACGTCAACAAAATTGACGTGCAACTGCAACCTTAGTCTAGTTTGATCAATGCAAGAATCAATTCTAGTCGTGAGTAGACAACTAGACATACCCCTATAGGACCAAGCTTATACCCTCAAAAGTATTCTAGGTCCATCAATCTGAGATGATAACTGTTTAGTTTAAAGACATACACCTATCTACAAATTCATGCTTGTGTGGAGCGTTATTTTCTGTAGGTGACTGGGGTTAGCCACCAAACAATATTAATAGTTCGCTAAGATGGATGAAGAGGAGCTTCATAGAGCCAAAATGGAAGTTGAGGCCCATATGGATGATAAAAAGTTTGCACAATGCAAAAATCTACTACGGAATCATCCAGATGTGCGAGAAGCTTGCAGCTTTTTAAAAGAGAGCTTAGATTTGGCGGTAGGAGATGGGAAATATGGTATCTTTTTAGAAGGCCAAGGAGGTGCATTCAACCTGTACCCAGAATTTCACCGACATTTTCTAATCGATGTGCTACCTGATTGTATTGCGACGTTGATGAATCGAAGGTATGCGTTTAGAATCTTATACTGTTAATTACATACACAATTCGCGCATCCACATTCTATCTGACAAGAAAGTGATACATACATTTTTTACGTTCCTGTTTTCATATTATTCCTGTCGCCGATATTGATCATTCATGCATATTTTGTATAGCTCTTATTCCAATTATATATATATATATATATATATATATATATATATATATATATATATATATATACTACACACACACACACACACACACACACACATATATA